CGTCTCAAGCGAGTTAACTTGAAAGGGGACTACGGAATTTCGGCTAATGCTGGGAAACTCGAATATACACCATTACGCGTCTGTTTGCCGCTAGATAACTAGGGATACACACGCATCGTGTGTGCAGTGCATGGAATATATGGATACTACGTGCATTATACTACGTGCAATGTTCTATTGTTAGCGACTCTCGGATTATGTCATGTAATATTAAAGAGAATTGAGGTAATAAGGTAGAAAATTCATTTTTAAAAATTATTCATTTATATGTCGTTTTGTAAGCCTAGTATAAAAATATATATATATATATATATATATATAAAACATAATATAAGTCATAAATTATCATTTAATAAAATTACCACTGTTACAACAATACACGGGATATTATCACAAAATTAAATTTATTCTCGATTCCATATTATCTCATCAAATATAAATCCTTGGAAACGTGAAACTAAATATTAAATATAATTCCTAATTAACGGACGAAAAACTTTTAAATTCTGCAATTTATTCTGTCAAAGATTATCGTAATTTCAGGACGCGCATCTATTATTTCCTGCACAAATCGCGGCGGTGATTTATTCGAGGCAAAAATTTATGTACGGCAAATTGTCCGCAAGATCGGCCGTGTGTGCATGACTCGAGCATAACGTTCCGTAATTCCGCGCAATATAATATACGTGTTGTCGCATCGGGGGCGAACAACACGATTGCGCTGCCATCCGTTCGGAATGAAACTATAGAAGCAGAGGACGTGGTAGTAGGACTGGCAGTTGGTGATGGTAGTGGTGTGGAAGAGGAGGAGAAAGAGGAGGAAATGCATGGCAGACTCCCGTGTCCCAGGTGATCTCGCGTGCATGAAGCTGCGGCCGAACGAACTGTGCGGGCGACGTATGCTTTTCGACTCGATGACTAACCAGGCCCGGTTAATTGATCAGACGTATTTACCGCGGCACAAAGCGGCCACGAACCGGAACCAGCGTGACATTGTTCATGAATTGTTCGTTCGCCGTCAAACTGAGCGCGCGTGATCATTAACAATCTTACTCGGCGTTTTAATCGAGCGCGAACAAGTTAAAATATTTAATTTAAATTTAATTTAAATTCTCTGGGACGAGACGACGGCGAAGGTTTCGTCAAACCTTAGCAAGGAGCAATATTACATTCGAGTTCATATTGCGCGATCGTAAAATGGACGTAACATCTCTGCGATGGAATAAAGATTTTCTGATAACGCAATCGACGTCGAATATTACTTCCTTTTTTTCAGTGAACCGATTTACCGATTTTTCCCTCTCAATTTGGCGCGGGCACAATACCCCGTTCGTGACAAAAAAAAAAAGAGAGAAAAGTGTAATTTTTTTCAGGTGCGGTATTTTCAGCTTTGTGCTGATATATATATATGTAGATATAATGGAAATCATTTGACGAATTTTACTACGAGACGGGTTTAACGCTGGAGCAATTCCAGTCCAATTTACACGGTATATCCCAGATGTATCGCTATCGCAGATAGCATGGATCATTGTGAATACGAAGCCAAGCATTAATGTCATACGAATAATTGTAGAGTAGATAGGTAACTCGAGACTGGAGATTATTTAACCGTCATAAATATCAAGCTTTAATCCACTCCCCGCGAATGATGATGTATCTCTCTCGATACTCACGCAGAAACGTATTACGTTCTCGATTTCACGGGAAATGAACGAAAGCCGCGCACGCCGTGAAATCGGAATTAAAATGAACGCGAGTGAAATGAAGAAAACACCGTGATCCGTGACTAACGCGATGAATTAGAGCGAATTTAAACATTACTTTTCCTGCATTCGTTGCCCGCGCGTTATCATGTCGATACAAAAGTAGTGTTTTGCATTTTGAGCCGCGACCGGGCATGAAATCAATTATCGTTGTCGCCGGAGACCCGACCTTTTCCCCGATATTTATTTAGCATTAAAGCGCGATCGTCGTTATCCTCGCGGTTCTAGCCGCGTTCTAACCGGTGATCGTAAATCAGGTGAGGAAACCTGGCTGCGGCGTCTCCGATGGTAATGAATCGGAGAGAGTCGGTCGACTGCGAGAACGCATTGTAACCTCGAGTTTCCACGCACCGTCGATGCGACGTATGAATTTCAAGGGAATTAATGGCATCGGATTATATCTCGTAATCACGTATCTATCACACGAACGACGTGCGCCCCCTTCCCCCGTGGGCCTATTTCAAATGGGAACAAAGGGGAACCGAGTCTCCGCCATGTTTGACTATTAAAATGCAATTACCGATGAACCGTTTAACTCTTATTACGCAAGCACGGCCGGATCGATTGTCACGAAAAGGATTCTAAAAACAGATTACTAAAAGGTCTCTAAAAACAGATGCATGAATAATAGCGACATTTTAAGAAAGATAGTGATAGATATTTGTGAAATCCTATAATATATTGATTACGAAATATATCGCGCGAATGAGAGAAGATATACGTAAAAAGATATGGCCTGAAAAGATTATTTAAGAAGCACACACAAAATGTGAAAATCAATAAGTAAAATTATTTCTATTTTTCTGGTGGATTTTCAAGTAAATTTTTAGTCATAACTGATTTAAATTTGAAATATTAATTATTTTCCCTCGAATACAGAACAGATTTATAAAGTTAACTTATAAAGTTATATCATATGGATAGATTCACCTATAAATTTAGAGGTCAAGGATCAAGCATGATCGGCAAAAATGTCACCTTTGAGAATTCGAGGAACGAGTGACGAATACAAATCTACACGTTTTCGAAAGATTCCTTCGTTTTAGATGTCAGTCGCGTGATGGTACGTTGTAAACACAGAATTGAATGTAGAGTGATGCAAGAAAGTGTAATTAATAATTTCTAGAAAAAAAGTTACTCGACATGCTCCGACAACCATCCGGTGAATAATGCAATAAACAGAATTGCAATTGCTCGTAAATTGTTGGGTCAAGCAAAAGGCAGATCGTTAGGAGTCTTAGGCAAGATAAGACATTTCTGCATCCTGTGTATCTCCAATGATCAATCTTCGATTACATTCGTGAACGGGAAATTAAATTCGAAGCGCAATATAGCTTTACAAGCATGATGAAATTACTATTTCAGAAATTAGTCCATTTGAAAATATATAATCCGGATTTAATAAACTTCATTAATTCGATTACGTAATAAATCTTAACAACTCTGGCGTTCCTAAATTTATAGAAATATATTACCGAAAGTTTATTTAAACAGATTCTTTAAAACAGGGACTTAAAATATAAATGTGATTAACGATCACGTACTTAACTTTAAGTAATCTTCTTCTTAAATTTTGTATTATGATCCTATATACCTATATAAATAAATATTTTTTTTTCCTCACCACTACCCACATTACTATAAACGTTGGATGAACACCAACGTTAATGATTGTTTTTTCACTCACTGTGTTTTA